CTAGGAAACAAGTCTAACTTCCGTCACACTGTACATATGTATGTACATACATATGTATTCGGTTTTTTTTTTTAATATCCTTAGGCGTTTTTTTTTTGACATCATGATTTTTAGTGCCGAGTAAACAGTGCTTTTATCTACTTTATTTATATAGCAGAATGGAAAAATTCTAAATATTAATTTTATTGAAAATGGCGACACAACATTTTTATTCTGAATGCTAAAAAATTTCCACAGCAGAAATTATTTCAAAAATAAAATGAAAACTGAGCGAAAATCTTTCAATGTTTTTTTTTTTTGTTGAAGCACTGTTTGTTGCAAGGATTGTTGGCCGCTGGTCTCTTCAATTCTGCTTTCTAATTAAATATATACATACATATACACATGTAACCGCAGTATATATGACATTGAAAAGCCGCAAAGGAAACCATCACCAAAGTCAATAGACATTTTCCTGAATATCAGTACATACGTACATACATACACATACTATATATATACACGTTTACACACTGCCGAAGGGGCACGCTGCCAAGCAGTAAACTGACAGCAATCACAAGCTCGACAAGTACCCAAATCAACCAAACATATCTACATAGACTTATGGGTACGTATACTTGCGAGAAGCCACGTGTGTAAATATGTCCGTCGATATGAAGTGTTCCTTGGCTAGATAGTCATGCCCGCTGAGTTTATTGAAACGTTCACTTCGACAGCATCAATTTCTTGTACGCCAGTGATTGTGATTTGACACGCAACATAGAGAGCAAACACTGGTTGTGCAGTAAACGCACCTACACAAATTGGTAAGAGGAGCACACATTCCTATACATATATGTTATATACATATATATGCTTACATAATCAAAAATACACGGACAAACAATTCATTATAATAAATTGTGGCAATTGGCAATGTATGCTCTGCACAAGTAAATTGTAGCAATGGAGAAATGTTTACTTGTGTGCCGGTAGTAAAATCTATGCATACTCACACAGGCACGCTTCCAAAAATAAGGTACCGAGCGTGGGACGATAAATTTCACTGCTTGACAAATATCTGATGTTACTGTTTGTTGTTGCTGCTGTTGCTGCAGTGACAAATTTCAGAAGTTGAAAAGTTATCAGCAATAAATTTATGTAAAATGTACGAAATAAATGAGTGAATGCTTGTTTTTGTTGTATTTGTACATAATATGTACTACATATGTATGCATGTATGCTTTATGCACAAAATTGAAATTTGAACTGAACTAACTAGCAAGTTGAGGAACACTGAAGTCACAAAATATTCATAGCATCAAATATAAACAAATATATGAAGGTACAAACATAAAATGTCAAATTAAAAATATCATTTCTGAAATATGCTGTAAAATAAAATTGCTTGAAACTTCTTGATCTAAAGACTGCATCCGTTTACACATTTATTCGTTGCTGCAGTGGGATTCTACAAATGGTCACGCTAAATTTCTATCGCCAGAAATCTCTAAACTAATAAGTCCTAAAAGTATTAGAACGAAAGTAAAGGTGAGTGCATAGATGAAGGAAAGGATAGAGGTAGAGGTAGAGGTAAAAATAAAAACAAAAACAAGGTTGCGTAGCGATAAAGGCAAAGATGAAGATCAAGGTAAATTTAAACACTTTATTTATAGAAGGACAAAGGTGAAGGTGAATATGTACGTGAAGGAAAAATAAGCACAAGGGTAAAAATAAAGATAGTATAAGAAAAAAATATGAGGATGAGAATAACGAATAACTAAAGATAAAGATAAAGGAAAAAAGAATAAGATAAAGTAATTATAATCAAAAGATATTGATGGGGAGAGAAGTCGCCGCTTATATACTAATCACACCTTAATTCACCATACCTAAATTCACCACACCTTAACTTACCACACCCAAACCCACTATCCTCCAACTAACCACACCACACTTGAGCTCACTACACCTAAATTTCCCACATCTAAACCCACCACACTCAAAGGAACAACACGTCACCTAAACTCACTACACCAAAATACACCGCATTTTAAATTCTTGTGAAATTGAAATTTTTTTGTGGAACGAATTTCAAATCTGAATAGAAAAGTATTGATATTTAGAATTTGTATATTTTCAGGCGATATGAATTTTCATAGTTAACTATGCGACTCTGAATATACATAAATTCAAAGTTAAACTCTTGTTGGCGGTTAAGTTAACAATCGTTTAACTAAGCACTGTGAATCCCGCCCTAAAAAAAGTAAAAATAACCACTCATGCCCATATACCCGTAGTTGGGTATGTAACGTATACGCCTCGTAGCACCATACGCAGTTATCGAGCATGACAACGGTTGGCATTTCAGCCGAAATGTAATATTTATGGAAATTTTTTTCAGGTTTGGTACACTGGTACACAACATTCAGATTTGGTACATTTTTAAAATATGGTAAAATGAGATAATTATTACTTACGTTACACTTTAGGAACACTAAAAATTATACAAAAAACGCCGATTTACGCAAACTTAATTTTGGGTCGTAGACTGCAGATATATAAACAATTGTTTCAGATCAGTCCATTTTTCCCTGTTTCATTTTAAATTTGCATTACGAATGAAAAACAAATTCAAACTTTTACACAAAAAATGTTACTCCTACGCCACGTACGCATATGAACAGTAATGTCAATGGACGTTATGGCGTATGAGTAATATTATTTCCGGCCTATTCCTAACTTTCATTTATCTATCGATTTTTATCGTTAGTGGCATGATTTTTGAAAGAACAGGTTAATACAAATGAAAAAAATTTACAGAAAATCTTTTATCTTTTTAATATGTTGCGTGTTAAAATTTGTTTTTATTTTCATAAAAATTAAAATATCTTACGAAAATTACCTGATTTAGAAAAACTGATTGACAATGAGTAGAGAGCTTCATAGGCTCGTAATGGTCATATTCAAGTATATTCAAGTTGGTTTTTTAGAATTTTTTTTTTGTGGAGCGCGTTGCGCATTTTCTTCCATATAACACATGATCACAAGTTTTTTTATAGGAAAAAAAAAACAGCAACACCTTCCAAAAAAAAAGGCCTAGAAGGCCGTTCTTTTCCAACTATTCCAAATGCGTTGAAACTATGTTGTTGTTAATTTCGCCTGACTACTGATCAAAAATCTTCTAGAGTTCGAAAGAATCATCCTTTAAACAAATCCGAGTCGTGTTCTATATAGGGTGGGCTAGTAAAAGGGATGATTCTTGACTCTTTTTACTTCATCCTTGCTGCTAGAGCTGTCGAACCCAGATTAACCCAGATTCTAACGAGAAGTAAACGCTCGGCTACAGCGATACAAGGGGATTTAGATAGTTACCGGTTAAAGTTATAATTTAATTTTTTGCAATTAAAATTTAAAAAATACTTTGATAGTTACATGCCAAACCACACAAAAATACATACAGTGACTCAAACAAATGACCACGTGTTGCTTTTTCTCAAATATTCGTAACGTTTTGGGAGATAAATTTTTTTTTGTTATTTTTGTATAAAAATATCGATATGATTTTTTCTACGCTTGAAATTTGCACTTCATTTGACTAAAATTGTATTGGGTATAAAGCTGCATACCCAAAAATCTTTTAAAAATTCAGAATGAAAAGTTGGAATTTTGATGAAAATTTGTTGAATTTTCCTAAATTTTATATGAAGTTTGAAACTGTGATTTAAAATGTATGTATAAAAATAACAAAAGAAAAATATCTCGAAAAACATTACGAATAGTTGAAAAAAATCAGCACGTGGTCATTTGGTTGAGTCACTGTATGTAGATATGTAGTAATTTCTTCGTACACTGAAACTTGCAAACTTTTTGCCTACATATATCAGCGAATGAAATAAGTAAATTAAATCTCAATCTAACACTGTACATTTACAATTAATTTACCTTTAAGAGAAAGTTGCACAAATGCAAGTGACAGGAGTATAATTATTTTTGTTCTATACATATTTAAAGGAGTTTAATACAGTTTCGCCGTGAAAGAGCAGCGAATTAATTTTACGAAAGTTTCACGTGAATTTTGAAAGCAGTTGCATTTAATTTTTGCGAAACTTTTGATGCGAATGTTTTTGGGTAATTCAGGGAAATTTGCAATCGCAAATTTTACCTTTAAATCCAGATTTCATTTGGAGTTGAAGACAAAAAAATTGCACTCATTTTAAAGTAACACAAGCACAAATTTCTAGCAATTTTTAAAAGTTGAATTCATATTACATATTTTCAGCAGATGAGTTCGTTTAAAATGATTTTTGATGAAAATCCCTTTTGAATGCTCAGCAATTATTTAGTTAATTGAAGCGCCGCAAGTGTTGATAATTCTTGTAGGGGAAAAGTAAACCAACACCAGTTAAATAATTAAATCTTTCGCTCTATGGAATAAGAAGTTAGCGAAACCATGAACACTCGTCGCCATTCAATTTGCCCAGTCCAATAAATACCTACAAAATTTTTTGAAATTCAACTTGGCTTCTTACCGTATGACTTATTTGCACGTGTAAATGCGCTGAAAAGCATACTTCATTTCCTCTCATTTCCCATTCTCGCCTGAAAAATATTTGCTTGTTCAACAATTTCGTTAACCACTCCCCCTGGCCCTGCTCAGATACAATACATACTTATTTACATGCGTCAATTTGGAAAAGAAATTACAAAACTACACGGCAAAAGCTTGTTGACATTTTGTCCAGACGTGCCTCGCAGCGGAAGCAGCTGCACAAACGAAGCGAGATGCCGCAAAGGAAGCTGAGAATGAGAAGAGCGAAACAACTACGGTACAGAGGAGGAGGATATATAGAACGTAGTAGAAAAAAGTGAGAGCGTGCCTAGGGTCATGAAATACATAAACACCCCTTCCACTTCCACCCCATCGTACAATGTGTAGCGATGCGAAAAATAAATAAAAGCAACTATTAACTGTAAAAAGACAAAAATACGAATAAAAACAAATAAAACTGCATACTCACATTTTTTATTGACTTCGTTGCTTTTTGAGCGCAAACTTTGATGCTTCCGCTTTCCAAACAAGTTGGTTAGTAGGTCTTTGACAGTGATGCCAGATGTGCATATACATACATATGTACATACACATACCACGTGGTGCGCGACAAATTTACACCGACGACGACACCCGACGGCCGACCAACCGACTACGAAACGACATGTCGCTACGCACACTCGACGCGTTAATGAAACTTTTCCGCATACGCGACGAAATTCTTGCTTTGCCAACTGTGAAGCCTACTAGCAAATAAAACAAAACCACCAAATTGTAGATTTGCTTATGTCCTGTTTCAATAAATTAATTTAAACTTTAGCAATTTTGTACGCGCTGGTTTATTCTCTTTTTAGCCGCACATGACTTGCACTCTGCGCCCAACCGATATGTTTGTATTTTTTTAACGTTACTTTCGAGTCACATTTACACCACACTTGCAAACTTTTTAGCAACTTTTCATTGCATACATTTCTTTTTCTGACAAACTCGTAGGCACCCACACGCAATTCATTGCACATTCGCTTGCCTGCTTTAGCAAGGTACTTAAATTGCTATTTGTCTTGCCTACTTTTTGGCGTTTTGTACAAATAATTTGTTTTCTTGTTTCTGTGTTTATCAACTTTTGCACTTGAATTTTGTTTTAATAATCTCTTACTCCACCGGCAACGCGATAATGTTGCTTTTAATGTGCGAAACTTTTAAACAATTGCCACCGCGTACACACTTTCGTTTCGTTTTACAGCTTTAATTTGTTTAGCTGCACATATACACACCTACATGCTTGTATATTTTGGCGGAGCGTTCCAGCAAACCAAATAAAGACGGCGGCGCGCATTTACAAAAGCATCGACCGTTTGTTTTCGAGACTTAATTACAGTACCACATTTTGCAGATTTGCTTTTTTTTTACTCTTAAAAGTTTAACGTTGAGCGCAGTAATGTTTGCATTATTTCGGGCGCCCACTCTTTCGAGCTATACACAAAGTTTTGTGCGCTATTATTGAATTTAATGCAGTTTTTATCCCCGCGATTAGTACTTTTTTATGGTGTGCACTTATCGCAAGCGGATTTGTTGCTCTACTTTTGATTTACGCGTTTTTTATGCACGCCTGCTTAAGCCTGATGATATGCAATAATTTGTTGCGCTGTAATGAGAAATAAACGAGTGAAATTAATTTTGTGGCAAATATCTTAGTCGAATAGATTAAAAAATTATGTGATAACTTTAAGCGACTCCGCTATGATACGCAAAGTACAAAGAGAAAGTACCTATCTCGGCCCTAACTGGGAAAACTTTTCAAAAACGCCCTACTTCATAATTTAGTAGTTGAAGAACGCCCTATCTCAGAATGTGGTTAAAAAACGCCTTATCTTAACGGAAAAAATATTGAGACAGGGCGGTTTTGAATCGACTGCTGAGAACGGATGTTTTTGAACCGAATTCTGAAATAGGGCGTTCTTCAATCAAATTCTGAGATAGCTCAGTGGGTCACGAGTATAGTATGTATGTAAAAAATTTATCAAAACCATTGCATTGTTAATTGCAAAAATTAATATTTTAAAGAACTTTTGATAATGCACTGGTATCCATACTTGAAGAGCTGAAGTCAGAGGCACGAGTATTTAGGTGGTTTCAAATAAATGAAATAATTACTATTAGATTGTTTAAAATACACAATTAGGTAAAATTCGTGTAGACAAAAACTGCCTACTCAAAAAACTGGTGTATTACAAAGCTTGCAAGTTTTTTGAAGTTTAGGCATTTCAAAGTAAAAACGGGTCGGTTCGAAAACGGTTTTCAGCCGTGCTTGTTTAAATTAAAAATGTTTATATGTTTCTAGTTTTTTCTCGAAAATTGGGCCTTACATGTGAACTTTTTCTGGCAACACTGTCTACTAGATAAAATGCTTAACTATACGACACCCACATATATTTTTTATTATATAATTTTACCAGTTTTTTTTTATAAAAATATGGTTCATTCTACAACAAAAATTATATAAATTAAATAACAAACTTTGTACAAAAAATAATAAAAATCAATATAATTTGATCAAAATTTTACATTTTTCATGCAGACTTCATTATGCATTCAAGTTTGAAACAGCTAAATAAAATTTCGCTCATTTTTTTTAAATCTTTTTGTTGGCGGTGTTGAGTATTTTCCTCCATATAACAATATTTTCGAACATTCTTCGTATAGCGGCTACAACAACCCCGCCCATATCGGCTACTCTCTCAGTCGTTGCCGTCAAGCTCAACTAACGGGAGACCCAAGAAGCGTGCAGCTTCTATAGGGTCCGTCTATAGGGACAGAGGGGGTCAATTGCGTGGGGTTTTGTGGGCATGCGAAGGGATCTTTCGAGTCGTAGGGTGTCTCTCCGCATGCCGTGCACTCATTGGGCACATACGCATCTAGTCTGCTCAGGTACCAGTTCAACCTGCTGCAGTAGCCAGAGCGAAGTTGGGCTATTGTGGTCCGAGTCTTCTCGAGGGCGATGGCTCCTCTGCAAGCAGGTGTCTGTTCGGGTGTCCACGTCCGTGACTCCCCATTAAGAATTGCTTGCAGAGCATTGTGTTGTGCTCCTTAACGGGGAGTATTTGCGCCTCGTCATGTAGGTGTGGTTGTGTCGACATCAGAAGACATCCGGTCGACCAATCTGGCGTTACGTAGTTTAGAACCGGCCGGTCGGAGAGAGAGTAGACTGTCGAAAGTTAGTCCGAGAATTTTCTGGTTTATTTTTATTTGAGATAGGGCATTTTTGAACCGAATTCTATGGAAGCTTTGAAAGGGTATTATTATTATTCATAACGAAAACACGAATGCGAATTTACCCCAAAGCCGAAGAAACTCTGGTCTTGCCTAACTATTTTCATTGCCAGATTTTATAAAAAAAAAAAACTTTTTTAGAAAAAGTTTAAATATTTATTTATGATAAAATCGCATCACAAATTGGAATTTTTTTAAGTATCAGCACTGGTGAAAAAAGTTGCACTCAGACTTTTCTTGTGACATTTTTGTGATGCTTATGCAAAAAAAAACGAAGCCTATAAAAGTGCATCTCATAACTATAAACAAAATGTATAAAAAATTTATTTATTTTTCTTATAGTTAGCATATTTTAAGGCATCGTTTTCTGCATGAACTTTCGCAGTCTACTCATGTGACCCGATTTGGGTATCAAAATAGGCCAAAAATTTAGTGCTAATGCAGATCTCTAAAGGTGGATTCATCATTCAATTTCAGAATTTTTCTCAGTTTCTCTGAAAGTTGAAATTGAAAAAATTTTAAAATCTAAAACAAAACCAATCGCAGTTTTGTTTTTCCGCTTTGCTGCACATTTTGCATTAATGCACCAAATCATTTGCAGCGGAAGCAAATGGAGCTAAACGGAATACATATACTGTTGGTGCTTCTAAAAAGTTTTTTAGCGCAAGAAGCACTTCTTCTCTTTTATTTTGCAATGAGATTAAATGTTAATTACCATTTTGGCATTCCCAAGCGGAAAAAGTCTTTAAATATTATGCGAAAAACACGGTCACTAAGTAGTCAATTTGCTTCCCACCTCAACCCACCACACCTAGGTCTTATGGTCCCCTTACAAGCTCCTATAAATGAACGACTTTATGTATGTATGTATAAAAACATATAATCAATGAGTCAGTTGGTGCCAATGTAGCCAGCCAATCGAGCATTCATCCATACAATCAGTCAACCACAATAGCCAACGTCAACAATGCCAACTGTCATACTCAATCAAGCGACATAAAAGTCGACCATGGAACAACAACAACAGTGTACGCATTTATGTTCAGTAAACAGTAGAGATATTCTTAACCTCTCGGTCTGCATACAAACAGGAAATGACAGTGGAGCGCTGACAATTGGCAGAGGGATTACATGGCATTTTAGCTTTGTGCTTTTGCGGCGATCAGAAGAGGAGAAAACTGGAAAATGCATTTATATGTGTACATAACTGTATACACACACTCATAGGTGTTGTCGTTACAGTATTGGATGTTGTGGTCATGATCATTCAAGCTGTACGGTGCACATAGGGACGAATCGAAAATATAGGACGACAAAAATGTTTACTCAATATGCATTTGGAAGATTTCAATGGAAGTTGGTATTTAAGGGTTTTCGTTATCGCTGATTTCGAAATATACATATATTACATTTTCAAAATTCAAAATAGCGGGTCAAATATGGTGGAATTGATGGTTGTTATGAAACTTCGTATGCAGGGGCATTCTTCGTCGCTGATTTCGAAACTGGTATTAAGTTTTCTAAACTCAAAATGGCGGATCTAATATGGCGGACGCTTTTGTTTTAAATAATTATGCATTGTAATGAAACTTGATAGCTAAGAACTCCCGGAGTCACTGATTACGAATTTAAAATTTGATTTCCAAAATTCATATAATTATATTTGTGATTGCAAATAATTGAAATCAAGAAAATAGAAAACTATGACCTATTAAATCACACAATAGGGAGGCAAAATACATATCTCAGCTAGACGGCCAAACACTTAAACGTAATTTTGATCTCTAGATTACGATACTGTTTCCGGAAAATCCTTATCGCGATAAAATTTTAAGATATTTAGTATGCATATTTTATGAAAAAAATTCAAGCTTTAGCAGGGAAAAAATTAAAAAAACAAATTTTTTAAAATTTTTTTTTCATTTCTATTAAAGCCTTGCTTTTACAAAAAAATCAAGCTACTAACGAAGAAAATTGGTGGATAAATAAAATAGTGGTGAATACATATGAAGTAAACATATTTGTAAGATGCCCTATTTAATGAAGGGGGAAACGGGGTGGGGGGGCGAGTTCTTGTTATCTTTACATTGGCAATTTGTTGGATTTCGCACTATTGAAGAGAGGTCGCTGTACTCTTTGGATATTATTTTATAACTCTAGGTAATATAAAAATTTCAAAATTTTTAAAATAAAAAATGGTGATTTGGGTCGTTCTTAAAAAACATGACCAATTGGTGTCCCCAGACTTTACTATTTTATATTTTGTTTCTTCAAAAAGAAAATAGAAAAATATCTGCATTTTTATAAATTATTATCGATTCTACGTAACTATATTATAAAAAAATAATAATTAATTATCTGAAAATAACTTAAAAAATATTTTCAATGTCAAAGGTTTAGCAAAAACCTGTGTCCCGAGCCAATTTATAAAAATTTAATAGTTATTTTCAGTTGAAATAAAATTGAAAAAAAATAATATTTACAATTTTTGTTATTCAGTTTGTGTATATTAATACCATATATAGAAAAGAATGATGAAAAATAATTTTTTTGTATAATTTTTATGAAGAAAATTTGTGTCCCCAGGTTTTGGTCCCCTCTGTTACGTCCACTCATTTTATTGAAAAATGTTTGTTAAACGTTATGACGCGTATATTTCTCTTATGCTTCTCCATCATAACTTAGCTAAAATCAACAAAATGTGTTTTGAACTGTTCAGTCTTGTTTAGTGCGTTGTTGAGTAAGGAACCCAATTGTATGCCGGGTACGTACCCTTATTCAGTGTCAACTCTGTTACTGTTGAAAAACGGTGAGTAAAGTGATTTTTTATTTATTTTATAATTTTTTTATAAATATTTTATGTACATTAATTAAGTGGACAAATAAATTCTCCAAAATTCGAATAAAAAGCTAAAATATGGTATTTTTGAGTTAATTTGTCCCCTCTGTTACCGGTCCACTCTGTGACTTATTAACTCCAAAAACTCCAAAAATTAAAAAAAATACTGCTGGTTATGGATTCCAATTGTTGATACCATCCGTAACCACATGAGGCCAATTATAAACATATTTGGCCAACTTAATTTTTAAAAATTACAAAATTCAGAATGGTCATGTTTTTTAAGAACGACCCATTTATAAAGAACGTATTATAGCCATTCTACAAACAACTACGTTGTATTATAAATCACAAAATAAAGTACTTAACTGACGCCTCACTCTCCATTTTGACACAACTGTTATTTATTAATAAGAATAAAGTTTCAAGCGAAATTATTTTATCACCGCTTCAAACAAAAAATTATTTAATTCCACTCACGATAGAAGACTCTACTTTGGTTTTCTGTTTAAGCTTCTGCGTTGCGTTAAAAGTCA